TTGTTGATAGCTACCTCATTAGTGTAGTCTTGGTACTTTGATACTTCTTCTTCAATATCAAAACACTGATTAGTTAGGGACAACAACTGTTTCCTGAGATGAAGCATCTTTCTGAAAATTAAAACAGAATTGATTAATAGGCTACTTGGTGAAAAGTTCCTAATTAAAATAGACCATTAAGTAGTACAATAAACACCCTCATGCTTTAAAACATGTTTACTTACCTCATCCATTCTCCTGACTTATCAAAAAAGGCTTCATACTTTTTAACACATTCCTCTGTAAAGTGGGTCATAGCTTTTGTTGCATGGTAATACAGTTTTTGCCTTTAATTAAAAAACAGAGATTTCAATCAGTTTCGCTTTTTGATATTAAAACATTTAAAAATATATGAAACCTATCTATTTCCTATAATGACGGCTGTAGCGTGAGAGTATAAGTGATCCCTGGGTTACCAACGAAACCCATTCCTAAGTGTGTGTGTTTATAAGTCAAATTAGGTTGGCTCAATTGTTACAAAAAAAAAAAAAAAGCCCAACATTGAGTTAATTCTGACTCATAACGACATATTCAAGTTTTTTCAACGTTTTCAAGTTTTTACGTCCTTATGAGAGCAGACAGCTTATCATTCCTTCCGTGGAGCAGATAGTGGGTTTGAACCAGTGACCTTGTGGTTAGCAAAGCAACACTTGCCCAGCAATGCTTAGTGAAAGATTTCTAAGACCGACATTATAGCGACATTATAGCAAGAAGAGGAGAACGATCAGGCTGGGTCACAGTTAAGCAGGTGTTTAAGTCTGTCTCTCGGCCTTCTCTAGTATTTGTCCCGTGTCACCAGAAGACAGAGTTGAATGATGAGCCCCCCTCTCCCCAGCCGTACGCCATCTAAGCACACTCCAACCAGGGGTCAGATACGCGCAGTCTGATGAGGGCTTCAAAAAGGTGCAGACATAATAGCAATCTTGTGAAGTTAAGACTCCAAAAGGCACTTTTCATTGCAATTCATTTCAACTCTGGGAAGAACCATATTAAAAAGGTAACCAAAAGTGTTCCAAAAGTTACAGTAAACATAATCTAAATACTTACTTATCAAATTTGTGAATTTGTTCTTCATTATAAGCTAGTCCTAGAAACAAGGGGTGGGGTGGCAGATTAGCGGATTACATTCGTAAACTTAGGACCATAAAATTATGATATGTAAATTTTTAATGAAAAATTTTTGCATGCTTTATATGCATATTTACATTTTACCTCAGAAAATCTAAGTGTTTAAAGCAGATATCATAATCTGGTGTCTCAAGAGATCATTTGGATCATTAATGTTTGTAATTGGTTTGTTTAGTGATAACCTTAAAAAAAATTGACTGACAACATTTAAAAATCAGGACATTTCTAACAGATTCTGTAGGGTTGCTTCTCTTCAGAAGGAAGAAGGTTTGCCCCCCGTCAAGTGGCCATGAGGAGTAGCTGCCCTGAGCGGGGCCCTCCTCCTTCATTCTCGGCAGCATGCCTGGCCAGTGTCATTCCTTCCTCTTACTTTGGAATCGAAGACCCCTTATTTAAAACACTTAACTATTCAAATTGTCTGTTTTATGAATAATTTCTAATAAACTCAACATCTTTCTTGAAAGACCCACATCTCTGAAATAGTGACTTTACTGGTCATCCTCATAAATACACCAAATTAGTTCAACTGAATTAGAACTACTAAGGCTAGGTCATTAGATTAACCAATGGCAAATTTTACTTACTCCGTTCTGCTTTGTCTTTTTTGAACTGATAGTAAATCTCTGTGATGCAATTTAATAGGACTTGTAGCTTTTCTACACTATTTAAGAGAGAAAAATCCAAATAAATTAACTGAGATAATGTGGAAAAGGGCATCTTTTAAGTGCAGAAATTACAAATAAAGTTATAACCTACTTTCTGTCTTTGGGATGAGTGCCTTCTTGATGGGCCCATGTATCTGCCAGCACTCCACTGGGAGACA